TGTTCTAGCAGGTAAGGTTTCAGAATATAATGCAAAAATGAACCCACAATGTTCAAAATGTAAAGCAGCAATAAGGAAATATAACTACTCCGTCAAAGAGATAGAAAGAATGAGAAACGACTATGCAGACTTAAAGAAAGAAGCAGAAAAGCCAGCAGAAGATAAAATGAACATGTTAGAATTTCTGAACAAAAACTATCCAACAGCAGAAGATTTCCTTCTATCTGACGTCAAGAAGAAATATAAAGAGACTTTCGGTATTGTTAAAACTTTTGACATACTGACAGAAGAAATAGAAGCTACGAAATTGTTTAGGATTTCAAATATACATCGTACAATTCATGTAAAACGCTTGTGAAAAAAAGAGGTGAAAAATTAGGTGAAAAAACAGGTGACATCTCACCTCTTCACCTAAACATGGGCTTCGCCCTTGCCGCTAGCGGCTTATTTTTGGTGTAAATTTATGAAAACATTAATAATACATGACTGTTCTCATTCATGTCTGATTTACATCCAACGAAAAAGTTTAGAAGAATTTTCTTATTCTTTCTGGCATGTTTTTATCTTTCCAGTACTCCCGCTCTAATGGTCCCAGATGAGTTGGTTTAGATTCTCTCAAGTTCTTAGATGGTATAACATCTTCAACGCCTCCTTCATATCTTACTTTATAAGTGTCATCGTTTATGTTGTAGTCAAGTATTTCAATAACCACTCCTCGCTTTGCTTCGTCAATGGTTTCAGCAAGTTTGCCATTACTACTTTCGACTAATTTATGACGAGGATAAAATGCTATGGAGTCGTCAGCAGCTTTTATAAGATATCCATTACCTTGCGTAGAGTCTACGATATAATAATTTCGACTTAACCTTAAACGTTTCTTTGTCAACGGTTTGTCGTCAAGAACTACACGAACTTTTGTACCAGGAATGAGGGTAGATTTTGTTGAATTTCTGATATTTTGTGTTTGGCTTCGTTTCTTTTGTATATACTTTTCTTCTTGTTGTTGTGTCATTGAATTTGGTGTATGTCCTGTTGTAGAATGTGTTGAGGAATTGTAAACTTCGATGAAATGTTTCATTGTTTCTTCGGTAAAGTCTCGCTCTTGATTTAAATCTCTGAGAGTCCTTATGAAGCGGTTAATGATACCGAGTATGTTATGGTTATGGTCTTCAGTAGTGTAGTGAGTTATGTTATGCTTAATGAGAAATTCTGTGATTTCGTTGCTGAGGTATGCACTATCTTGGTCTGATGTTAAAATACTTGGGTTATGTTCTGCTACAAACTTTTGTAAAACTCTTAACACTTCATGAGTTCCTTTATTTTTCATTGGATATGCATATGCTTTACGAGTGTTAACATTTATGAAGATGAGGAATGGTTTATGTCCTCCTTTTCTGCTTTGAATGAGAGTGTCAAATTGGTATGCGTCAGGAGTGTTGGAGTAAATTGGTAAAAAGTAGTCGTAAGGGTTTATTTTTGTTTGATGTACAACATTTTTGTCAAAGAACCTTTTCACTTCAGCTCTGTTAGTAAATCCCGAACTCTTTGCAGCTTCATTGAACTTCTTAAATGACCTCCATGGATGTTGTTCGAATACTTCTTTCAAGCTCATTTATGTAAAGTTAAAGATTTTATTCTAGGCTCAAGTGCGTTCATTGAACGCGGTACCATGCGAATATAGTCACAAATGGTGGCATGTAATCTGCACCCGAGCCTGTTGGATTTGTTGTGAAAGTATGGGCATGATTTCCTGTGGTTCCACAGAAAATACCTGTGCTTGAATCTACTGGGTCACTTGAAATATCATATCTATGCATTCCCTGTCTATCCGAACCTGCTGCAAGATTTGTATAACCTCTTTTTGTTATTGAATGTGAATGACTACCTGTTGTGTTTGTAGTTCCTGTATGAGTGTGCGGTGGAAGGTTTGCTTCAGTAATTTTCTTCGAACCTCCTGTTTGCTTTGAAGAGTTAGCACAGTATAAGAATTTGTCTACAATCTGCTCCCACATACCAAAACCTAAAACTGTTGCTGGATTTGTTGAGTTCATTGACGTATAAATAGAGCCTATAGGATATAATGTTTGAAGAATCTGAGTCTTTAATGTTTGAAGCTCTGTTTTGTCTGCTTTCTTGTCATATAAATCTTGAGCAGTGAATTTAATATTATGTTCATCCTTCATGACATAAACATTTCTACATCTAATGTATTTCATCGTCGTTATGTTTTCCTCCGATGTTAAACCTTGTGGAAAGTTAGGAGGTTTCCAATATAATGCATCCCCACCAGTTCCTTCAACCGTTCCTTCAATACTTTCTATACCAACAGTTGTGAAGAAATCATGTGTATGGTTCTTATCTGCTTTCTTATCTAACATTGTTGGTAGTTCATGTGCTTCAAAGTTTCTGGCATGACCTTCAATGTTCATACATTTGTTATTTAAGGAGTTTAGTGTATCTTTTACGCTTGTACTTGGATTCTCTAAAGGTGCACTTGAACCAAGGGTATAGTTCAATATTACATCGTCTGCTCTAATAGTAGTGAAGGATTCGTTTGTATGGTTCTTGTCGGCTTTACTGTCTAATGTAGCTTGAAGTTCATTTATATCGGAGATATTGTGTTTATGAGATTTCAAAACTTTGTTCGTTGCTTCGAGTTCAACTTTGTCAGCTTTACTTTTAATAGCATCTTCAAACGTTATTTTTGACTTAACTCTCAAAGTAAATCTTGGTTCAACTAATACACCGTTAACATTGAAAGTAGAGGCATAAATTTCACCGGTATAACCAAATGCTTCTGGTGCTTTAGCTACATCATACTGTACAGTACAGCTTATGTCATAACCTTTAGCACGAATGTATTTATATCTTCTTTCATTAACATTTTTTGTCTTCGCTTCATCACTTCGTGTTAAATATCCATGGTAGTCCGTTATAATCTGTTCGTCTGAAGTTATATAATGAACGTGGTTCTTGACTTTATCACTCAGAGCTAAAAGCTCATTTTTGTCTGCTTTTTCGGCTAATTTCTCATTAACATCATTCACTTCTAATTCAACTCTTCCGCCAGAACTCTTATTATCATTAATCTTTTTCATTAATTCGGTAATTACGTCATAAAGACTATATTCTGTTTTCGGTTTTGTAAATAATGAGTCAAAATTTCTTTTCATCATTACATCGCTGACATTAATGATATCACCAGTTCCTTTTTCATTTATTCTCTTCATTAATTCTGCAATAATGACGAATATATAATCTGTTAATTTATTCTCTTCATCGAGGGTTATAGAATGATTTGAAATCGAATCATTAACTCCTCTAAATAAATCAATAACTTCAGGATACACGTTTTTAATGTCTCGAATAACCCGACCAGTATCTCTGGTTTCTTCTCTTCTTCGTTCCGTCGTTACGTGGTTTTATATCTCTAACCATCATCAACGCAGCCATAACCGGAGGGTTTGTTGCTATCTGTTCGAAAATCCGTCCGTTATGTATGGTATATCTAAATAATTTCTTTGTGTTTGTTAAAACATTTGAAACAAGTCTTTTAAAACCATCTACAAAATTTCCTGTTTCACCTAATGTTCTTGCAGCATTTACAAGCTCACCCATTCCCGCTTTTGACCCCAAAAACGTCCATATTGCATTTATTTCACTCTGTATAGTTGTCCATTCAGCAAAACTAAACACCCGCATTCGCTAAGCTGAAAATGAAACTCAGTGGATCGAACTTAATTCCACCTTCTTTTTCAATTTCAACGAACTCACTAACATGAGATTTTAAATATTCTTTCGTTAAAATTGTTTTCCCCGATGTTATGTCATTAACGAAACTATCACCGTCAAAAGTTAACGAATTCAATTTCGTCGTTGATGCTTTTATTTCATACACCGCTTTATCGATAGTTTTTGGCTCACCTTCTTTAGAAGCATATGAAACATTAATGAATGAATTATATGTATTCGTGAATGAGTTAAAATCAATGATTTTCATTAATGACGCCTTTAATGATTCATTAACTGTTGAATCCCTTAAAGTAATTAATGAACTGTCATGGGCTTCGCCCTGGTCGCTTCGGTCTGAAAGACCTTCAGGACTCAAAGAGTCCGTTTGCGACTTTATGAAAGGTACACTGCAAACCGTCGAGTTTGGATCAAATGCTGTAGTTGGTGCAGGAATATTAATGATATAAGTCATTAAATCATTAAGTGACGTAAATAATGTTGTCGTTTTTGATTTAATTTCTTTAGCATCTGTTATATATGGTAATTTTATTTCTGTAGTTTCTGAATTAAAGATATTCGCTAAAATGTTTTGTAAACTGTTTTGAACAGCAGTATAAACCGTTGAATCCGGAACTCTTACGATTTCACCGTCCTTAATAAAAGGCATTGCACATGGTGTAGTGCTTGGGTCAAATATTTCGGATTATAATTCAACATATATTCTAATGCTTCATATACAGACTTATATACTGTTGTGTCGTTCTTCATGACAACTTCACCATTTACAATGAATGGCATTGTACATGGAGTTAAAATAGGGTCAAACTTTTCATAGTCCTTCCATGTTATGTATTTCTCGGTATTTCCATCACTGATAACAATATATTTGTCAGTAAGTGTGAGAGAGTATTGACCAAAATATAAACGTTTAGCTCTGTCAGCTTCATACGCATATGCAGCTATACTCATATTTTAATGAGAATAAAATGTTGTTCTATTTGCAAAGTACAGACCCAAACGAATACGGACAGTAAAGCTACAAACAAACTTAGGTCTCAGAATGAGCGCTTGCTTTCAGAGTTGTTGACTTCAATACTATCGCTTCATTCGTTATAACAGATGAAACAGATTTCATGGAGTTTGAAATAGATGGAAAGAAGCACGAAATAAGATTTCACAATAATGTAGAATATAAGATGGAAACATTAGCTGGAGTGTTAAATGCTCTCATAAATACTACAATAAACAAGGAGAACGAAGAAAACTTAATGAATGTTAAACTTATTGCAGGAGTTTTGAAGTTCAGTTATGCAAAGGAGTTTAAGATAACACGAATGAGTCATAGAGTTCAACTTCTTTTAGGAGCATACCATATGACATTTCCTTTGAAAAGTATTGACAAAACGATTGAGATGAAATCTGTTCCATACGTATGTTATGGTAATTGTTTGTACATTGAGTCAAAAATAGCTAATGTCACAGGCATTTCAGGAGTTAATAGTAAAGGTTCAGTAGAGTATAAATCTTTCTGTTATGCAGTCAATTCAATGTTCATTCCAAACGTTCCTGTCATAGCAACTCATTTAGGTAAATGGGTTCGCATTAGTCCTCATAATTTGAAAGACATGCAATTCAGACTTGTTGACTTTCAGGGCGAGCCTGTAGAACTGAAGGCACCAGTGCGAATGACTGTTGAAGTTGACTTTTTAGAAAATATTAAATGCAACAGCTTACAAGAGAACTCAGAGCTAAAAATATAAAGTATGAATGTTATGTATTAGGTCATGAACTTTGGTTGTTGCTGTTTGATGAAACAAATGAGTTAGTTATGTCAGTCAAGAGAACAGAAAAAGGCGTCAAAGGAGCCGAGCGCAAAGCGCTATATTGTGTTAGTGAAAACTGCACCAAGTCAATAAGATTAGGTTTGCATTATGAAGATGAGTTCGATACTGTTGAAGAAGTTTTGGATAGATATTACAAATTGCTTTAATTTACTAAAACATATTTCAAGCAAAGTTTATATTCTGTTGAAAGTTTTGTATACTCGTTCGAATATTTATACTTAAACTCAACTCCTGTAGTTCCTGGTGTTTCAATGATGCGGATGTTACCTATTTTCATGAATGGTGGCGTTTGACCACAGCATTCGATTTCAGGGTCGAGATAGTCAATGACACATTGTTTCCCTGTTATTCGTGAGATAACATTTCAAGGTCCTCCTTTGTTAGAATTATTTGGTTCTTGCTTATAAGATTTGTCAAAAGCTTCTTATCGTCTTTGAGTAAAATTGTTTGGTATAACTGAAGAAGGTAATGGTCTACGTTATCTGAAGGATTTGTTTGAACATTTGTGTAAGGTTGTCGTTGGCTTCTCTTGAAAGAATTTGGTCCAGTGGATACTCTAACTTAACATCTGATGTAGCGTTAGCGTTTGAAGCTGTGTTTAAATTCACGGATTTCAGCTCTGTTCTGGCTCTTTCAAACACTCCGAACTATAATTCTTTATGACAATATTGTTTGTCGTTCGTGAGTCAACATTTGATGTTGGTTCAATTGGAACATTAACGGCACCAGCTAAGATGGATTTGCTTCTCATTTCATATAGAATAAAAACCTTTTATATGTATGAAATGAACAATATACTCGACAAGGGTTTGAATGTAAAGCTAACGAATGAAAATATTGTTGAATTCACTGAGACAGGAGCTGTGTATAAAGATGTAGAACTACTGAACAAAAGAGCTAAGGGAAGAAGCAGGAACATGAACAAAGGGTGGAAGCCTATAAAAATTTATGTCAATGATGGCTCAGGAGGTTCAAACATAAAGTATGCAGAAAGTTATAGAGTTTATGCGCTCAAAGGTGAAAAGCCTTCATTTAAGAACAGCTATTCTAACGCATATCCTCAAAAGTTAACGGATGGGGAAGTGGATGATATGAATGACAGCAAAAATATTAACAGAAATGGCGACAGAGATGCATGGAATTTGTTTACCATCAGTCAATTGAAGGTTAAACTTTAAAACAATGTTGGTCGTTCCCATGGAATATTTTTGACTTTAATGGTATTAGTCATGATATGAATCTCAAGGTATGAACGAGGAGAGATGAGAGACTTATATGCTTCCCAAATTTCTTCAAAAGGTAATGTTATACCTGACTGTTTCCAAATGAGTTCAATATCATAACGTGAGAAACCTTGAAAGATAACGAAGTCAGTTATGAGACGTTTTATGTTTAAAGCTAAAAACCTCCATGTTTGCATAAGTATTGCTACAGTTAAGTGGTAATGTCTGACTTTAGTAATGATATTAGCTAATGGTGAGTCAGGCTTTGACACTAAACCTTTTCCGGCGAAGTCGTCACAAACGAGCAGAGTATTTGAAGGATACTTTTTGAAGGGGTATTTTGAAAGTTTTGACAGAATGTAGTTTGTCAGTCGTTTCATATCGTAAACTCCTGAGTACTGACGTAAGTGGTGTTTGTCAATAATTCTTTCCATCTCTTCTGAAGTCTTTTGCATTCCTGACTGTATAAATTCAACGATGGCATAATATTTCCTCTTACGTCGAATGTAACGTTGAAGAAATTCAATGAGTTCACTGTCTGGAACTTTAACGACAGAGGCTTGAACTTTTGACATAAATGTTTTCGCTGTTGATCCATAGAGTCTGAAGTTGCTGATATAATGATTTGGTCATAGTAAGAGTCGTTTCCTAAACGCTCTGTTATGAGTATATGACGAATGAGGTTAAATGTCTTACCTGAACCCATCTTTCCACAATAGAAATACACACCATTTGAACAGAACTCATATCCTTTGCTGAAAGGAAGAATGAGAGAAGAGTTAAGTTTGTCTGTAGTTTCATTCATGTCTTCATCTACGTCATGTATTAAATGCTTCATTTTATCTCCATTAAAAATGCAAGTCAGAAATATTCAGAACATAGCACCGAGTCTAACTGACAAGAGTATAAAGATATACTATGAACATGTTATGATGAAACCAACCAAAATTCAAGAAAGTCAGTATACTTATGAATATCCAAGACACTGGGTAGAGTATGTAGGAGGTGAGAAAGCTATTGAAATAAGACAAGTTAGAAGTATTCCAGCAGGAAGGACAATATTATTGAAGAACTTTAATGTTTTGAGGTATAATGATGAGACAAAGAAGCAAGATAGTTTTCCTATTGCTGTGTATGTGAACCTAGACACAGGAGATGACATGAAAGTTTTTAACACAAAGCTTCAAACGGTAGTGAGAGAACAACTGACTGCGGAAGGACATCCATTACCTTCAGAAGTTACCATAGCGTATAATTTTGAAACAAATGCAATAGATTTTAAAGTCGTCTCTGCAAAGAAGTCAGGTTTTACATTTAATGAAGCAGATGTATATTCGAATGAAAACTTCAAAGCTATTGCATGGTTAGATAATGACGATTGCTTTAAGAAAATATTTAAATTCAGTGACTCAACGATGTCAATAGATGACCTTCGTGGAATGTTACCATCGACGTTTACAGTAGAAGGTTCAGCAGGATTGCTTACAAGATTGTCAATTGGTGGTATTTGGTCTCGTGAGAACATTGTTATAAAATCCAGTATAAGTGAATTTGCTGAAGAATCTATATTATGTCTTTCAAACTACATGTATTCGCCGCCGAAGCATTATAGTATAACAAACTTTGTCAGTAAGTTTAATATAAGACTTGTCGAACCTTCTTCAATGAAAGATGTTGTGCTACCTAAAGATGGAAAGGATGGACTCATTATTGAAATGATTTTAATTGCATATTAAATGAGCTTGTTTTTAAAGGTCATTCATGATGAAATAACTGTTGTAGAAGATGTTAGCAATTGTTCAGACATTTTATTGAGAATAGATGATATAAGAAATAAGTTAGATAGACCGCAAAGCGGTGAGGGCGAAGCCCGTGAGAACGCTTATGTTTCATTGACTTTCTCCAGTAACGAGAACTTTTATGAGATAATATTGAAGAGAGATGATTTTAATATGGTGTAAATGGTAGCTTGGGCAGCTTTAGGCGCAATGGGAACAAAAGCATTAGCATTTGGAGCAAAAGCACTTGGGGCTTATGACGCAGTAAATAAAATGAGTGGAGGAAGGGTTTCGAAGACATTAGATGCAAATAAAGGGAAGATTGGAGGCTGGGTTGCAAAGAAGTTAAGATTAAATAAAATAGGGCTCATAAATAAAGCATCCAATTTGGTTGCGACTGAGTCAGAAAATGCTTTAGGAAAGGACGATGAGTTTGCAAAACATGCAAAAGACTTTAATGACCAGATGAAAGGTGAAACAATGCATTTAAATAGAGTCGATGGAACTCTTCCTCCACCAGTAGTTTATCCATACGGACCTTATGGAATGTATGGAAACCCTTACGAAAGACCATTTGACCCATTGACTGGTGGAAGTAACTGGTATCATTACGGACGAAGAAGAAAGACAGTCAAGTTGGAGACAGACGTGAAGAAAGCAACTAAAAAGAAACCAAGGAAGAGAGTTATAAAGCAATGAATTCAAGTGGGTGAAAAAACAGGTGAAAAAAGAGGTGACATCTCACCACTTCACCTAAATTTATTTTTGCGCTATGTTTTCATACGTGTGAGGGTGGTGATATCATTAATTTTAAAGTTTATTTTTTATTTTAATGAAAATTTTTATTTGGATGTAAATGACAGAACAAAAGCAACTCATACAAATCGAAAAATATAACAAACATACATTTAAACATTTATTCTTCCTTCCTGAGCATAACATGTTCTTTCAAATACATCCGAGACCAGTTGACTTTTCATTGACTGTGTATAAAGATAGAAATAGTTATATCATTAAACCATATGATGACGAAGGTAAGTTATGTAAATTGTACGTTAAGAAGTTAGAGAAAGTTTATGGCTTCAAGTATGACTACAATAGGGTTAACACTGATGATGAAGATATTGAGGAAAATTTATGAGAACATTAGTGAAGTCGTTAGTGAGAACGATAGTGAGAACGTTTATTTTTTTACATTAGTGAGTTCGTTAGTGAAGTGGTTGGCGGCTTTGTAAATATTTAAGGTTAAGTTGGTGTTGTCGTTTGTGTTGTAAAATATATGTTAATGGTTTTGTAAATATTTAAGGTTAAGTTGGGTAAGGTGGAACGCAGTGCCACAGTACCCAAGATAACCATACTAACTCATACAGCTTAAACCTTATACTTGTTTTCTCTTGTGAGAAAGCAATCTTACAAAGCTAACAATCCTAAAAAATAAAGAATTAAAATTTAATAATTTAATCTAACAAAATTTCTCTCTTTATCCTTTTGCACTCTTTATATGCAACTCAAATCCATCATATAATATTCCTATAATACTCTTGCCTCAAACAATGACGAACAAACTGCTATTCTCATTTAATTACAGACCAAATCTATTCAAATTTCTGAATTTTTAATTTTCATTTCAATTTCAAATGGAATTAGAAGAAGAAACTATCTTTACTGTTATGGATCTTTGTAAATTTGGAGTTAAACAAGAAATACAAGCACAGTATGGATATGGTGAACGTGTCAGGAAAGAAAGATCTCAGATTTCATTCCACTGCAAATATCCAAAATGTCCTGCACATTTTAATGTTACAATCTTGGATCAAAATAAATACAAACTAATCAAAATAGTTGAAGAACATGATCATTCCGCCCCAAATGACAAAAGTCAATATTCGTCTGTCTTTTATCGCAAATATTTAGAACATTATTTCCAAACAGATGACAATCAAAGAGCGATAGCACAGCTAAATGCATTCAAAGATCTTGAAATTCCTCTTACAGGTCCGTCCATTCCAGAGATGTACGCTCAAAAACCACGTGCAATCAAACGATTTGCAGAGAGAATACATGCTCTTCAAACTAGATATTCTCCTGACGATGTTGTGTCATTGCAAATCTTTGTTCAGACAGTACAAGAAGAATCTCCAGATGATCTCATTGCATTTGAAGTCTCAGACAATAATATGTGTTTCTATTACGCGCCTTTTGAAGGCAAAGCTTATGCGCATAGTATCAAGACATTTCATATAGACAGCACCTATAAATTGTTGTGATCAAACATTCCATTGTATGCATTTACTGGCAAAATCAAAGATTTTCACATTTTCCCTTTTTTATATTTCTTTTGTCAACCAGACACTTATCAAAACATTCAAGTTTGCGTGTGCGCCTATCTCAGATGGGTAACAATTGAGCCAGAATACATTAGCATGGACTGTGCTCCACAGATAGCTCAAGCAATAGAAGAAAGCATTCCACAAGCTCAAATACTTTGGTGCGGAGTACATGTTCTTCGTGCAATTCTTCGCAAATCAAATAAGTTTTCTTCTCAAGAAAAATTTGAACAATTCTATAATTTGATGAAGGATTTAGTCTTCAAATTAGATGCAGAACATGAGGAAGAAGCAAATGCTGCCTATGATCAAGTTCTGGAGTTGCTCGACACAGATCCAACAGCATCTCAATACTTTAACAGACAATGGCGTTACAACATATCAAGATGGATTGCTCGTGACAGGCGTGAAGGCGACGCAACTAACAATATTGCCGAAGTTCATTTTAGAACACTCAAACATGACTATTTTCCTGATCGAAAAAATCTCAGAATTGATGATGATATTATAGAAATTTATACAAAAGTGATACCATCTTAAGTTATCAAACTCAAAATTGATCAAAATCCAGCAGATGACCGTGTCATTAGGATCATGGAAAAAGCAACTAACGCAGAAATTGATGTAAAAAGACAAAGAAAAATTGAGAGTATTTCAATGCTCAATAGATTGCTCAATGCTGTTAGTGATGACTCAATAGATCCCACTAAAATATATCCTACCTTGAAAGTATTATTACAAAGAACTCATTTTATTTAATTTTGATTTTAATTTTAGATTAAATTATTAAATTTTAATTCTTTATTTTTTAGGATTGTTAGCTTTGTAAGATTGCTTTCTCACAAGAGAAAACAAGTATAAGGTTTAAGCTGTATGTATTAAAGTTATAAATATTTGATTTTAAAAAAAATCAAGATTTTAAACTTTAAAGGTATTAATTATGATTATCTTTCTTTAGCTTTACATGCTGTATGCTACTTTTGGAAACTGCTCTATTGTATTAGAATGTTTTTAAATTTTGCACCTAAAAATGCGTAATATTAAAAATTAAGGTATTAATTATGATTATCTTTCTTTAGCTTTACATGCTGTATGCTACTTTTGTCTTTGAGACATTCCATGATTTAAGTTAAGAAGCTTTAAAAAAAAAATGTAATAAAATAAAATAATTTTTAGTATCGATAATCTGAAATATGTTGTTTACTTAAGGGTGCACACGAGAGGATCATGTAAACTTCAGAATTTAGAACCTTAATTTTTAAGCAATAACTTGGTACCTAAATAGGTAGGAAAACTCTAAAAATATCAAAAAATACAACTTGGCTCCATAATAATCCTGTCATGGTGGCTGTTTGTATCCCCTAGTATTTTCCTCTTGAATCTCTTTTTCTGTCGAAATTAAATTCAAATCTCAGAAGTAGAAGTGAATAATCGACTTATTACTGCTATTATACGAATAAATAAATTCATTATATTATTTTTATTAACATAATATCTGTTTGAAGTCCATAATTCTATAAATTTTTCTTCAAAAACATTACAATCTTGATAGTTTTGATACTGTTTAATAGGTTTTTGGCACCTTATTTAGTATTTACTACGTATAGAGTCGATCTGAACTTAATTTTCGGAAATTTAAAATATTTATTATAAGTAAAATCTGATTTGAAATTTATGTTTAACTACTCATATCTTGCATTATCCTGAGTAGCTTTTGTAAAAATTCATCAAAAAAGATTTTAACGTGCTTTAATTTTTATTTTTTTAAAATAATGCATATTATGATATAACTAGCATATTTACAAATTTTAGTGCTTTCAAAAATTTAATCCTCCTCCTCTCAAATAAACGTACATCCGGGTGGCCTGTTTTTTGCAAAAAATAAAATTTCATTTTTTATGCTTAAAAAGTCAGAATTTTTATTTGCTTCTGGGATATATGATGGCTATATCAGATGCCCATTCTTTTTGATACTCAACATTAAACATAAAACTTAGCCGTTAAGGCTCTTCTGAAAATATTTTTTTCCGAAAAATTTTCGAAAAAAATCAAAAAATTTAAAAATCCCCGAATCTGCAGGGATTTTAAAAAATTCTTTTTAGTAAAACTTAAGGATATTGTATCAGATATATTGGTATGGGCAAATTCAATTTTAATACAATATTCATCGAGATATTAAGTTAACGAAGCTTTCAAAATTGAGAGGGTAATCCTCCTCCTCTCAAATAAACGTACATGCGGGTGCACCCTTAAGCCGCTCGCTTCGCTCGCGGCTTAGTTTCGTAATTTCGTACAATCTTTTTTCGAATCTGTTCTTTTCTTAAGCCGCGAGCGAAGCGAGTGGCTTAGTTTCGTAATTTCATACAATTATTTTTCGAATTTGTTCTTTTTGTCAACCGCGAGCGAAGCGAGTGGCTTTTTATTTTTAAAAATTTTTTTTCTTTCTTACTTTTTTTTCCCTTACTTACAAATTTGATAGTAACTTACCAAATCTCTCTATCATATAATAATAAATTAATCCATTTTTTGTTTCAAATCTGACACTTTACATTTCTGACATGTAAATCTATCACTTTTCACTTCATCTCACTGGGTAAGTTTGTGCCCCCTCGCCAAATTTGGCGACATCAAAATGAGCAGATTATTCGTTTCACTTAATTTTGAATTTAATACGAGAAATAGATGTAGAAATATGTTCTATTTTGAACATTTTCATCAAATTCGAGATTTAACTGTTATTCAATATTGTTCAAATTAATTTTTAGCAATTGCATAAATAATTCATGATTTATAATCTAATGATTTGAACAGAACAAATAATACCTTTAGTAAGTTACCAAACAAACAAAAATCGTTTTCAATTTCCAAAATGTTCTAAATCAAATAAATTGTATGAAAAAACGTCATATCAAGATTGGACTATTAATGATATGCTTAATTTATTAGAAAATATATAACTTGATTAAGATAATAAGAATCATTATAGGAATTGATTAATCATTACCTATTGTACAACACTATTTCTATGTGTGTTGTAATGTAATTGTATTCAATCCTGTTTTTTCAAGTCCGATAACCAAAGATAAAGAGATAAATACTCAATTAAGCAACAAATATAGTAAAAATGTATATCTTAGGTGATGTATAGTAGTTTCAAAGTTAATCAATAGCTAAATCATATACAATTATGAATATTATTTTAAAAAGTTAAAAAATACAAGGTATAATTAACTTGAAAAGAAATAGTTTTAATTGATTTTAGATTCTAATGCGTCAAGTGGGAAGAATCCTCTGTTATTTGTTCTGAGATTGCGACCAGAACATTTCTGGCCGATAACGTAGTCAACATAAACAAGATCACCGGAAAGTAATTGAATTTCACCACCAGAAGTGCCTGTAAAGTCCTTGGTACATAGGAAAACAGCGCCGATTGGGTCGTTCTTTGCCAATTCATCACGGCCGAGCGTAACAAAGGATCTTGGGAATAAGCCACGCTTTCCATTGAGCTCGCCATCCCACCAACCAGAATTATGTTGCTGAAGAACGCGAATCTTATCACCGCGGACAAATTGGAGATCGGCTGGGTCTTCACTGTTGTAGTTTTCGATACCGTAAGCGTAAAGTTCTGTTTCATCTGTAAGAGATTTCGAAGATGGGTTAAATGCTCTTGTAACGTAACGGGAGGAGCGATCAGCGCCATCCATGTTATTGACCTTTGTCAATACGCCTATTGCCAGCTTCATGTCGGCTTCGTCAATCATCTTGTTAAGATCTGCCAACTTTGAAACAGAGTTTTGTATATGGACAAGGCGTGAAGAATCGAATTCTGAGAAGTCTGCATGGAGGGTTGGTATTGCTGATGTATGGAGTAATGTAATGGTGCGATGAATTTCATCTTGGCGTTGTTTAGCTAAGATGGCGTACTTTTGGATCTTTTGCTGTTGAGAAGCTTGCTTGTTTGGTGGAACTGTAGAAAGGGCAGCCTTAGCTTGTTCAAGGTCGTGAACTGCATTGTCATAATCTTTCTGCACCTTTGAAACTGTGCCTTGATTACGACGAACTGCGTTCTGAATATTACGCTGCTTCTCGCGGACTGTTGTAACGAAGCGAGTTTGAGGAACAATGATTCCTCCGCGGACTTCTTGTGCAAACTTCGCGTGCATAGTTGCTTGCTTGTTAATCATTTCGACAAGAGTCATGAGGAATGGATCTGTTTGATCATACTTATCTGGGAGGCATGATTTGTAGAGTTCTGAAATTTTATCTTCGATTTCGGCACGCTTCGTGAAAATCCTGAGTAAAACGTTCAAGTTTTCTGTGCCGCTGTCGACACGCTGGCTGATTCTAGTGAAGATTGTATTTAACTCTGCGGTCGTGGACATCTGTCAACAAAGTTAGGTACGATAATTTTTCAATGAAACCGATTTTGGATCCAATAAAGGCGGTTTCATTCTGGTCAATATTCATCCAAGATCCGAATTGAGATTGGTTTGGGAATATTCGTAGCTAGGGCATTAACATCTCAAAGCTCTACTGATCATTATGCAAAAGAGATATCTGATGACATGAAAAGCTCAGCCCTCAGCCTTTATGAATCCATATGCAGAGTTCTTTTTCTCTATTTTAGAGATCGTTTATAACCTAAATGTTGAAAAATGAATTTTGATGTAAGGAAGATATTGATGCCACTAAAAACATTGATATCCAATAAAATTAGTGGTCCACATAGTTGAGTCTTAACTAGATTTAGAAGATCAATATATTCATTTATAGGAATATTCAGTAAAAAGTATTTATATCTGAATTCAATCATACACAACGTTAAAGATGGATTATTTATATATGCTACAGAACTAAACGGTGATATCTATAGGATTTTGGTTTGAAATAAAAAAGATTTTTGAAGAAATGAAATTTAACAACACAATAGATTAATTTACTCATTATTTGACTCAAATGGATCATGTGGTTCGACAAGAACCATATCTTTTGCCTTAAATGTTTCATCTTCAAATTTCTTGGAGAAATCTTCAATAACCTTTGAAGGAAATCCGTATTTAATTACAGGAACATCTGGAGCAATATCCACGAAAACGAAATCGTATAGCAACTGAAGTTTTTGAGAAGGTAAAAATCGTCTTGTTTTTGTCTCACCGCTTGGAAGTTTGCATCTTAGTATAATAACGCCTGGCTCGGAAGCATCTGGCTCTGGTGGTAATTTTTCGAAATTTTCTGCGGCAATTTTGACGGAATCTTTCAATTGCTGCTGCTGTTCTTGTTGAAGACGCTCCATTTTTTCTTCCTCTTCCTGTCTTTCTAATGTTTCTCTTTCGAGTTTATGATATAAGTCATCTTGATCATTGCGTTCTGTAACTCTTTCATGTTTAATAAGATATTGAGTACGAGTATCAAGTAAAGCATCACGATTCTCCAAGAAAAATGAATCTGCTCGAATGAGATCTTCTCTTGTAACAAATTTATCAACTAAAACAGCTTCAGAGACTTGAGCTGTTGGGCAAAGGAATAAACCACAAAATGGAAGATAAGGGATTGGAAGCGAACGAGCTGTTTCATAAGTTCCCTTAGCATTATAAGGACTTGTGTATATTGTAAAGTTTTCTTCATCTAGAAATATTTTGGGAATAGTAGCCTTTCCTTCTAATGTTAAATTTAATATGAGTAATTTACCTTGTTCTGAGCAATCGCGAATAACTTTTGATAATTCTTTTTCAATTACAGCCAATCCGCCAGGAGCAATATAGTTATCATTAAAGCTGTTCTTAAGGAACTTAAATACTGAAACTATTGACTTAAGATAGTTCATAATCGCAGCTTTTTAATTGAAATTGGTTTTTTGGTCGCATGTTTACAAAGAAAATTTTCATTCCGATTTGGAAAATTAATAATATTTTGGATATTTTTCAATTTTCAAAATATTTTTGGAATTTTGGAAATAAGGGTTTGTATTTTAATTTGTAAACTAAACAATAATCAATCAAAATTAAAGTCTAATCAACCAAATTTAAAATTGAATTCCTGAAATAGACGTCCAAATGAAATTTCGAACAGGAAATATTCAATACCAAATGCTACAAAACACTTTTCTGCATAACTGAGCCATTAATTAATCCTGGTATAAATTTTTATAAACGTACACTTCAAAATGGATATCAATGAACAGACTTTTCAAACGCAAAAAGAGGAAATCGAATATCTAAAATCTCAACTCGAGAAAGAAAGAGCAAATTTTGCTAAAAAAGAAGAATCATTGAAAGAGCAACTTGAATTTGCATTAAGATCTTCGGAAAAAATATCACAAGAATGTAACAGATCAATTGAAATTGCAGAAAGATTGAGAATGTTCATTGAAGGCGATAAAGATACGAATTTTCTCGATATCAAAAACGAATTGAATACTCATATAGCAGATATGAGCAAAAACCAAGAGAAAGTTAATCATCTTAATCAAAAATACAGAAACGATTTAATCGATTCTCAAAATAAACTCAATAAACTTCGATTGGATATATCTTCAATTTTTGAAGAGCAATTATCTGCAGCAAAACAATTTCCACAATTTGCACATCCTCTGATAGAAATTTCAAAATCGATTGATATGTCTAATATTGACTCCATTATCAATGCTATCAGGAAAACTAATGAGGTTTTATTTGAAGCTCTATCTAAAAAGTGATAACACTTAGTACCATTTTCCAAATGATGATATAATTATAACGATGGCTTCCTAGAATCATTTCTTTTTAGAGAAAGTACAAAGGTACCATTCTTTTACTGATGCATTATAACTCTTATCTGCTATTAGAACCATAATTTTAAAATAATGTGACGATTTTGATATTCATTTACCTTATCATTTTCAGATGAAAGTGATCGTCATCACAACCAACAGAACAAGATACGATGCTGTCACTAGATATTTTTTAAAGATTAAATTCCTCAAAAGTTATTATTTTGTTAAAAATGTTTTTTTGTATTCACACGACTAGTTTTGTTTAGATTGTGGGTAGAAGGATTCATTCACACTGTAAAATAATGATATACCCAATAATGATGTTTAGATTCAAGGATATATGAGACAATTCAAAATATCGAGATATTTATAAGCTATGTAGATATATTCTACCATAAAAAAACTTCATTATTTATAATGAAATTTAAAAAATTTTTGCCGAGGACTCTCTCTTTGGGAATATTATACTCATTAACAGCTATATCAAGTGCATTTTCAATATTTGTTTTGATATTAGCTACCAGAATCGAGTCAGCTCCATTAATTCCTCATCCCAAAAATTCATTTTGCGACAAAATTGTTAACATATCAACAGAAGATGAAAATATTGTTGTGAATCTAAAGAGCTCGCCTACTAATCAAGATATTACAGATATAAAAAATTTCTTGCGTTTTGAAACTGAAGCATTCTCAACTCTTTTAATATTTCCTTTTAACACTTTTCAAGTATTACAATACAATTCATCCACCATCACTGGATTTTACAATTACCCATTCCTACAAGAATATTCTGGAAATATGTTATGTTTTTCAGATGACAAAGCCAAACAAATACAAGAAAGCAGCAAGATAGAAACGCAAAAGTTTATTGCTGATAAGATTTTCCCGATACATTTCAAGGTTTCGAATTTCGATAATTCATCGGAGTATACACAAATGAAATGCAAAAGAAAAACTATCCAAAAAAGATATTGCGTTACCCGCAACTTAATATTAAGAAATAACATCATTTATTTCTATTCTCGAATTTTATACAAATTTCCGTCTCCTTTTCTATCATTAAGCTCACAACCAATACCAAATGATGTTGTAGATACTCGTCTTGACAACCAGCCCGTTGTTGTCAAAACAAATCCACTAGGAAAAGGTGGAAATAAAATCCAAGGCATTTCTTATTTTTATTGTCGAGGAGTGAACCTTGGAATGCTCTGGCATAACATTTTTGATAATGTAGCACCTTTGTATCATACTATACAAGAAGTTGAAGGCTCAGTTACAGGAAAAGATCGACATTTCATTGTAACTGATATTTACGTTGTCGAAGTCTTTGTTTTGTTCCTGAAAATGTTTACAAAGTATCCAATACACAATATACAATTGGAAAAGATGGATATTCAGTTTGATATTTGTGTTTTAGGTCTAAGAAAATTTAATACTCGCCCTTTGCCATTTAGAAACGAATTCACGACCTTTGATTTCAGTTATGATCCTAAGGATATTTCAATACCAGGATTTAGAGAAACAATTCTCAAAGAACTTCGATTTACAATTCCAATTCCAGATCCAAAGAAGCCACTTGTCATCATTCCTTTACGTAAAAACAATAATACAAGGTTTATTGTTAATATGAACAGCGTTATTAAAGAAATGGAAAGAAGATGTAAATTCTGTGAGTTTTTATATCTCAATTTAGACTCATTGACCATTGAATGGCAAATAGAACTTATTTCTCATGCAACAGTATTAGCAGGAATCCACGGATCTGGTCTTGCACACCAGATTTGGATGAATTCATCAAAAGAGCATCCAGCTTATGTATTTGAGTTCCTTCCGCCAAATTACTGGTGCAGGGATTGGTACAATGCCGTCGCAGACGCTTTTAATATCAAATATTACAAAGTGTTTGGAGAACAAATCAGATTTGAAGAGCAATTAGACAAATGCGTTAATGTTAAGGAGCTTTGCATTAGTCCTGAGTGTCATGATATTTTAAGAGATCAAAATATGAGGATAAATATTGAACAGTTAGGAAACGAATGGCAAAAGATTGTAGATAACTTAGAGAAATCCATACCTTAGAGCTAAGAAATTTTTAATGACTATATATTACTTTTTTTTTAATAGTCGTATTATATTATTGTAAAATTTGTTTGTTATTCTTTCAATAATACATATTTTTAAATACAAATCCATAATTAAAAATAGTTTGAGATATATATGTTTATCATAGACTAAAATTTAGAAGTCGAATAATTTGTGCCTATTGAAATCCATCAGACAATCTAATATTATATTGTCAAACACAACGCAATCATATTGGTATGCAAAATTATCTAATTTTGCAGGAAAAACGAAATCGAGAGATTTGATTGATGGACATGATTGAAAATTCAATATCATTGAACTTAGCAAAGTTATATATTTATATAATAGACCTTATTTCCTGATAGAATTGAAAAATTTCTAGAACCAGTTTACATGGCGGTTTTGCCTGGCCTTTATACATGAAGTACATCGCTGCTTATCTTCTTTCAAAGGCTGCTGGTAACGAGAAGCCAACACAGGAACAGGTCAAGAAGATCCTCGAGGCTGCTGGCGTTGAAGTTGATGCTGCTCAACTTGAGGCCGTTGTCACAAAGATGTCCGAGAAATCCGTTGACGAACTCGTCGAGACAGGCAAGACCGAAATGAACAAGGTTGGTGGTGCTGCTCCAGCCGCTGGTGCTGCTGCTGCTGCTCCAGCTGCCGCTGCTGAAGCTCCAAAGGAAGAGGCCAAGGAGGAAGAGGCTGCTCCACTCGATCTCGGCGAAATGTTCGATTTCTAAACTAAAAGCCTTTTCTAAATTGATTATTTTTAACTGAATACAAAATATAAATAATAAAATATGATTGAACACTTTGAAAATCTATGATTTTCTTTATGGCATCATAGAATTTTCTTGTTATATGAGCTAAAGTCCTCATAAAAGGTCAGGCCATTTCACATTTAAATTTGATAACCAACGTCTCATTTGTGGGTTATCAAATATTGACCAAGGAATCGAATGTTTCGACTTTTTGATCTATAAATACTATATGTAGAACCAAAATTTAAGTGTTCAATCTTTTAAACTCTGTTGAAGTCATTGTTCCAATTGTTTGAAGTGATTTGAAAGATGTACAAATATTTCGGGAACCAAAGGAAGGCTACTGTCTACTTACAAAACTTGAATGGTTAAATAGAAAGAAAAAAACATTTGCTAAAGTTAACTAAAGTTTATTCTACTAGGCTTCAAACAATTTTACTTCACAAAACATCAAACATAATTTATACTTGAGATATCATTTGATATCTCCGTAAAAATAAAAATTCATGAAAATTATCAATTGCGAAAAGTTAAAGTATGAAAAGATTGTAAGATCATAGCATAGTTCTTGATCGTAATTGGTTTGTTGTTGGATAATTGTATTATATAATAATAAATTTTTGAGATTCAGCGTAGATCTTAATTATTTTTCATCCTTCTTTTGTTGCTTTTCGAATCTCTCATCTACTGTATGTTTGAAATCGACAATCTGATTTTGCAAATCTTTGAGTCTTTTTTGCTCGTATTCTATTTCTGCTTTTAGACGTTGTAAAGTTAACTGATTGTCAGAGTTAATTCCATAAGTGATAAGTGATTGAAATTCTGAAATTTTATCCTGTATGATCTTCTTGCATTCAGTAGATTCGTTTTGCAATTTCTGATACTTTTCGGATAAAGATCGAGGAAAACGGTTCTGATAATTTGGAATGATTTCTTCTGTATCATCAATTTTGCTTTTACGAGACAATGGAGAATCTTTTTGTTTAATGGAAAATGTACCTTTGCTTCGAACTACAGTGCAAGAACCAGAAATGCTATAAAGCTGAGTAAATTCGTTTTTGTCTGTCATTTTATATACACTTTCGAGTTCACCACTTTCAGTTGAAATCGATTTGATTCTAGAAATATTTACAATTACTGTTCCTTTATCATCAATAATATTATAACGATCGGTTGAGTCATTTACGATCTTATAATCACCATGCTTAAGATGTTCGAAAACGTCCGGCGGAATTCTCACTATTTCAGCTGCATCTAAAGATTGTGAATTTACAAGATCAAATTCATCACTCATGGAAATTGAAAATGACCGACCTGTATGAGAATTATGGAAATCATTTACCTTTAAAAACTATGGGTTTCGTTTTGCTAAAATTGTCACTTTTATAGCATATTTGTTTTTGGATGTTTTGCGAAACCAAAAAAAAAAAAAAAACTATGATATACAATGTGTGTGTAAAGAAAATACTTTATTTACTAGTTAAAAAATCATTTGGTATTGATCAAGTTATTTTTTCTGGATAAGATATTATATGGATAATTGGATAGAAAATACAATTATATAATCTTGTACCTGGTTTAATTAAGCTAATTGTCATCAGAAACTTGTAATTTTTATGAATTTCAGATTTTCTTTTCATTACTGCTTTTCTTAATAGGTCAAGTTCTTATTTACGTTATAAAGTATGATATTTACAAATATCAAGTTATCGTGTTTTTTGAGAAATTATGAGAAACAAACAAAAATGAAAAAGATAGGAATAGCAATGAATAGTGATGTGGGTATAGAAAATGTAAGAGATATGAATGCAAAGCAATCAGTATTTAGGACATTGACCATAGATTTCGAAAAAAAAAATGCTGCATATTGAGCGAAAACTATGATTATATTATAAGGCTGTCATTTAAAGCATAATGAAACTATTCCCTTTTCATTTTAATCGAATAAGATAGTAAAGATTTTTGAATTAGCTAGAAACTGATGAGATGTTTTCACAAATCAGATTTTTAATCTCTATAATGCATAATTCACTCAATATCTCAATTTTGATATTGCGAGATATTTTTGCTATCGGTTTCGCAATTTTGACACAATAGCAAGAAGGTTCTATAAGCATTATTATCAACGTAGAATCTGAATAAAAAAAAAAAAAAAAAAAAAAAAAAAAAAAAAAAAAAAAGGTAGTGGGGCTTCCAGGCACTTCGTGCCTTCTAGCCCTGAGGATGAATGAGTATAAATGAAGTTTTTATTCGGAGGGCTTCCAGGCGCGTTACGCCCTGAAGATGTTTAGTATAAATGAAGTTTTTACGAAGAAGAACTTTACAAAACATAGACAAGAAAGTTCATGAGGAACTCTCAACAAAGTCTTTACGAAGAAGAACTTTACAAAGTCTTTACGATGAACTCTCAACAAAGTCTTTACAAAGTCTTTACAAAACATAGACAAGAAAGTTCATGAGAAAGTCTTTACAAAGTCTTTACGAAGAAGTCTTTACAAAACATAGACAAGAAAGTTCTTGACAAAGTCTTTACAAAGTCTTTACGAAGAAGTCTTTACAAAGTCTTTACGAAGAAGAACTTTACAAAGTCTTTACGATGAACTCTCAACAAAGTCTTTACAAAGTCTTTACAAAACATAGACAAGAAAGTTCATGAGAAAGTCTTTACAAAGTCTTTACGAAGAAGTCTTTACAAAACATAGACAAGAAAGTTCTTGACAAAGTCTTTACAAAGTCTTTACAAAACATAGACAAGAAAGTCTTTACGAAGAAGTCTTTACAAAACATAGACAAGAAAGTTCTTGACAAAGTTCATGAGAAAGTCTTTACGAAGAAGTCTTTACAAAACATAGACAAGAAAGTTCTTGACAAAGTCTTTACGATGAAGAACATTACAAAACTTCATCGTCAATGAGTGTAAATCAGGCAAAAATATATTTTAGGGTAGAAGGTTAGATATAACCTGTTTTCTAACCTCATTTCTACCCTCTTGAATTTTCATGAACTTTCTCAACAAAGTCTTTACGATGAAGAACTTTACAAAACATAGACAAGAAAGTTCATGAGAAATTAGACGAAGAAGTCTTTACAAAGTCTTTACGATGAAGAACTTTACAAAACATAGACAAGAAAGTTCATGAGAAAGTCTTTACGAAGAAGTCTTGACAAAACATTTACGAAGAAATTCATGAAAATTCAAGAGGGTAGAAATGAGGTTAGAAAACAGGTTATATCTAACCTTCTACCCTAAAATATATTTTTGGGTCATTTACAAAGTCTTTACGATGAAGAACTTTACAAAACATTGACAAGAAATTGACAAGAAAGTTCATGAGAAAGTCTTTACAAAGTCTTTACGAAGAAGTCTCAACAAAAAATTGACAAGAAAGTTCATGAAAATTCAAGAGGGTAGAAAGTGTCATAACAAAGAAATTTTACTAGTAAGTAAATGTGGTTTGAAATAGGACTACTTGTTTTAGGTTTTTTCCATTGTGTCATTTACTTATTTGACGTGGCAGAAAGATATAGAGAATATGAAGATGAACCAATGCCTGCAAATGTCCAGTATATGTACTCGTAAGAGATATTTTTATCTAATATTAAATGGACTCACAGAACTTAGCGAATGCACAGCAACCTGGACAACCAAACCCAGAGAATATTCCAAATGAAGTTAGAATACAAACTGCAATGGCAAACTATGGTCAAGTGCCAACAGATGTACAAATGCAAACTGCCATGTCAAATGACGCTGCGTTAGGTTTGCCACCATGGTATGCAAATATGAGATGGAAAGAGTTTTATACAAACCCCGAAGTGGGATATAAACAACTCTATGCAGATGACGCGAACACAGGAGTTGACCCAGAGTATGTTTTCTACCAGAGGAGAAACAGAATGTATGAGCTCCAGTTAAAGAATGCTATGGAACTCAACAGGAAACGTAAGAGACTAGGCGGACATTAGATTTTTACATATAGTAAAATGGGTTTCTTCAGTAAGATAGGAAACTTCTTTCGAAATGTTGGAAGAGGTATATGGAATGGAATAAAAACCGTAGGAAGAGGAATTTGGAACGGAGTCAAAAATATTGGCAAAAGAGTAGGTCAGTTCGTTGGTATTATACCTAAAGACCCTGAACCAGAAGAGCAAGCTCCTGTTATACAACAGCCTGAACCTGCACCACAGTCTAGTTGGCAACCAAATCCAACACCTCAACCATATTAAAAAATCATATTTTTACCGTTCGATAGTAGTTGTATATGAAACTAAGTTCTAAGTAAAACGCGTGGTATAATGGAATTATTCTCTTTCTTCCATCTGTAGTAAACCATACTTGAAAGTCTGAAATACTTCCACTCGGTGGTTCGTATAGCTTTGTAGGTTTTTCGTAAAAGTCATTTGCCAAGCATAAAAAAGAGTTTTGTGCACCAGAAAATGAAGCATGAACTATAATAGCATCTGAGTCGAAAACATTTTCATATGTTCCATTAGGGTTTTCGACTTCATAAAAGTCCGGGTGTACTGGATATTCTGCAGGCTGATTTAACATCCTCAAAAATCTATACCATGCCAAGTTGTTATATTTTGTAGAAATATAAACGTCTTCTCCAAGGTCTTCTATTCTATTGATTTTAACAGTTGCATTTTTCCTGTCATATATAATATCGAGATGGTATTCTCCTTCGTCAATGTTAAACTGGTTTGCATATTCGATATAGATATCGTTTATTTTTTCTTGAAAAGCTTGAAGAGTTGTTTCTAAGTTTACAAGCAAATTCACTTGTAAAAGTTTTCCCTGTTCAAATTTCTCATACGTACGTTTTTCTTTGTTATAGTATCGAACTTCAAAAGCGACCGTAAATGGGAAACCATGTATGGCTTCTGAAATGAACTTCATTCTACGAAAGCCAATAGCTTTTGTGACGGATGGGTCTCTTAGCCATCTCAATGGGTAGTCAAAACGATAGCCTTCATGCTTTACGGTCTCTGTCTCAAACTTTTGACCGACATTCGTAAAAAGTTCATCTAATGGTTTAGTTGTAGCAACTCTTGAATTTTCTTTTTCTATTGAAAGCATATTTTATCTAGAATAAAAATGTCGAAAGAAACAGCGTCTATGAGAGAAATACAACACAACCGACAACTCATTTTGCAAGCTCTAAATAAGAACACAACAAACTTTTCAAACTATTCTAAGATATCTGAGTCATTGAAAGAAGGAAACTTAAAACTGACGATAAACCCAATGACAGATGAGTTTCTGTTTCAAGACAGTAAGAACCATACTGTTTGTATAAATCCAACAAAAAGAACTTTAAACGAGAAGCCTATAGATGAACTTCTTTTGAAGGCAGATATTGACAACAAAGCTGACAAAGAATATGTCATTGAAAAAGTTCAAGAAGAACATGACAGAGCAGATGCAACATATGCAACAAAAGCAGATGTTAACAACAAAGCAGATAAAACATATGTTGACAATGAGTTAGCATGTGTGGCTAGTGCGTTAGTGAAGAAGGCAGATAAGGAATATGTGGATGAAAAAGACAATGAAATTAAAGAAAGGGTTGAATGGTACCATGAACGGACAACAAAGATTTTAGAAGGTAAAGCCAATACAGGGTGGGTTTCAGGATGTTTAGACCTTAAAGCCGACAAAGAAACTGTAGATATGTTGACACAAACGGTTTCAAGTCATACCAGAGGTTTAATGGAAGATGGACAACAGTTGAAAGAGCTTGAGAAAGGTGTTACAGAGTTAAGGAATACAAAAGCAGACTCGACATGGATAAAAGGATATGTAGATGCAACAAAAGAACGTATTTTCGCATGGACAGAAGGAACATACCCACAAAAATATCATAGACATAGCATCTCTGACGTAAATGAACTTGAAGAAAAGTTATATAAAAAAGCAGACAAAACAGAGCTTCAAACATTAAAGATTGAAATACTTCAAACAGTATATCCTATAGGTTCTATTTATACGTCAATGAACTCTACCAGACCAGAAGTAGTACTTGGTTTTGGAACTTGGACTCAAATAGTCGAAAGGTTTTTGTATTGTGCAAACTCTTCAAAGGTAACAGGTGGAAGTAAAACGATTTCAGGTGAAAACTTACCTGCACACAGTCACTACATAAATTTAACTACAGCTGAAGCAGGTTGGCATAAGCATAGATATTGGGATTGGACAGGAATGACAAAAGGTAAAGGATATGATGTTAAAGACGACGTTAAGTTTGCTATAAATTGTTACTGGGATGACACTCAGGGAGGAGGAAGCCATAC